ACAGGCCATGAGGCGAGATGGCAGTCTAACGTAGGGCACACATATACACAAGCACACAGGGGCAATTTATACCCAACAACTGACCAATCTAGCACATCTGTAGAGATAAAAGGTAATCAGTGCATAAGATGCAAACCTATAGTACATGAACATGGGAACAATGTGCAAACCAAAGTGCAAATCCTGTACTGAAAAAGCCCCCAATACAGCATCGAACCAAGGGCCCAGAAACACTAATCGCCATTCTACTTTCCCATCCATGTTTTTAGATTTTTTGTAAGTTAATCTGAAATCATAAGGGAAATGGATAATTGTTTCATGGCCTCAAATTAAACATTTGTATTTTAAATGTTTTCACATAATCTGAAAGCACTTCCAGTACATGAGCAAACAAGCTCTGGTTCTTGTTATGTGTTAAGTAAACTCCTAACCACAGTAACTTACAATAGACTTATTATGTCCTATAGACATACTGTATAACTGTATGTTCCAGTTAGTCTACTCAACTCGTGAGAAGAGCCAAAATATGTTGCAGACTGTTTTCAAAATGACAAAAAACAATAGCATACACTACATCTGCAATGAGGGGCACACTGATACTCAAGTTCTTCTTTAACTCAGAATCATATTTGGAAGGTTCAGCTGGTGCATTAAACTCTCCTTCAATTATTTTTTTTTATTGTTTACTATCTGTAGTCCCTCAGGATTCTAAATGGCTTTTAGACTCCGCTGTGTTCAGTTCTACAAAGCCAAGTTTTAACTTGAACCAACAGTTCATTACCAACAAGTAATAGCTTCACATCACCTTCTCTCAAAACACCTGTACAAACTGCTACCCTTTGACTACCAATTCTCTTGGCTGCAGTAATGCTGTAATCCTTTATTAGTACGAATGATATTCGGTGTCTCTGGCTTTTCATTAACTTCAGAAGCTCAATATACAGAAGCAGTCTTAAATGCATGACACTGTCTGCCAAGTGAAACTGTTAAACAGTTAAGCTGAGCCTCAGAAAATGCCTTGCTGTATGCACAGTGTTTCAATCTTCAATTTATCTCTGGAAAAATCTCACAATGCTAGTGGGGGGGTTTGGGAGAGATGCAGAAACTAGCCAATTTCAGTTCAATGAATAAAGTAATGGAGAGCTGAAATTGAAAAGATACATTTCACTTTCTGAATATTCTGCAACCGAAAGAAAACTCATTTCCTAATCTGCTTTGTAGTACTCACATAGCCAACCTCACTGTGCCCAATTTCTGTGTTATAATGTTACAATCATTTCACAGAACCGTTCCAGGTTAAAAGGTGCTACATGCTATGGAAAGCACTGCACAGTAAACTATAACAAATGATTTATCACTGCACACACTCAGAGTCATGCAGTCCTGAGTTGCTTATGCTACGCATTAAAAGGCTCTTTTTTTGTCACTCATGTAGTTGATGCAGAGAGGCGGAGAGCTATAAGCATAAAAAATAAACCTTGTTTTATGACAGCTAAAAAAAGGTTAATTAATTTACTCATACAAATGGGGGTCTTATCCGATGTTTTTTTTTTCCTCCTTTTCCACAGGGAAGGCATAGCTGGAATGAAACCAAGTTGCACCGGTGGCCAGGGGAAGGCAAGAGTGTGGTCTGAATGAAGTGCTGGCTCGGACAGACTGCCTGCCTGCCAGCTTGTCTACATGAACACTGGGCATGTATTCGGCAAAGGCAGTTCTATTTAATTGGCCTAGATAGCCAAATCAGTTTAAAAGAATGGGCTTTCATACAAGACTGTGAATGGAACCTCGCTGTTATATACTGGTAAACTGAATTTATTTGAAGTGGTCTGAAAGGACTGTGCTGTTCTATTGCGGAAAAGAGTGTAAAGAGAAAATGCATGCTCAGATTACGTTTGTATTTGTAAGCCCCCCAAAAGCTATTTTGATCATTTACTTATATATCTTCTCGTATATATAATTTATCTGTAATATGATAACAAATTATCAGTGTAGATGTTAGAATTGGCCTATCTGTATATCTGCCACTGTTTCTGTGGAGTTAATTGTTTTAAACAACTGGTGCAGCTGTGGAAACTGGGTTTGTCCTGATGCAGTCCATCCAAAATCAATCTATAATGCACTCCCTGGTGATACTAACAACAGCAAACACAGATGCTGATTTCCCACATCCAAACTAAAAACCTTTCAGTAAAATATATACAGTATATTCAATTGAGTGTTAAAAGCAGTAGCTATTCACCTCCATCACAAATGTGAAGAATTACTGGAAATGATATTTTATTTAGTTGCTGACCTTAACAAGTGCCCAGAAAATGGGGTCATTTTTAAATGCAAATTATAATCTCTAGATCTTGTTTCTCAATTGATAATGGGTACATGAAAAAAAAAAAATCTGGAACTCCTTTTACATTTACTTCCAACCCCTATTGAGCAGAAAGATACAATGCTGACCCATGGCAGGGCTGCAATGACCTGATCTGACTCAATAGTGTTTGCTCTTCAATTGTATGACATGTGATCTGATACAGGACAGGCTGTGTGTTTCTTGAAATGAGAAGAGGGAAATAAAAGTGTACTGGAACATTTACAGTACATTACGAGGGGTAAGTTCCAATAAAAAAAAAAACTTAAGTTACATCACGTTTACCTTCATGATACATTATGTACATGAAGGTAACAACATACTAAACATGGAGCTGTTCTCTGTCATTGGGTACTATTCCAGTTCTAACCATAACCTCTGCAGCAGAAAAAGAATCTGGCGTTGAGACTTACTGGTCACGTCTTATATGTTTAAAGTTGACCTCCCATGAATATTCATTTTAGTCCAGCACCTCCAGGAGCTATGAACCATGCAGTGGCACGTGCACTGTATGTAAATGTAGTGAGTAAAAGGATGTGACACCGATGCTCATTCTAGATCTATACCTGGCAGATAGATATAGTACTTTACTTTTCAGGTTGGTGGTGTATATCACATTTTTTTCGTTCTTTAATTAGGGTGGAAATTTGCACACATCCATGCTACGGGAGCTCCTGTCAGTACATCAGATTCAATCACATGGCTGCTGGTGTCCTCCAGCTATCAGACAATTGATTTTCGTGGATTCTGCTCTGATTTAGCTTAAGGGACATGCAATATGTTCATTCATTTGTCACTTACTTTGCTTGTGCTTCATTAGGGAGTGTGTCTGCTTTTTTCCATAACACTCCAACAGCAGAATACTCAAATGCTACTATAAATCAGAGAAGCACAAAAGAAAATGCGTCTCTTCCATAGCAAATTAATTCTACAGTAAGTGTGAAAAGCGCTTACCATACCGCTTGTTTCGCAAATGTACCATGTGCTTTTAAAGCAAATGGCTTTAAACATAAACGCCCTGACTGCAGGAGGAATCCTGAACATTACAGCACCTCAAGCAATAATACCATTTGGCTTAATCTGGTATCAACAGCTAGCAAACGCCAGAATTAGGTAAAGGAATTAAATATCTTTGCATCATTTTACAGCAGAGTATTCAAATGCTGTCATGAAGCATGGAATCATCGCTCTCTTTCCACATCTTACAGTACGTCTTGATTCGCAAAAGACATTAGCAGAAAACTGTCACTGAAGATAGTATGGGAAATAAATGGCTGTGCTGGTGTTAATGACCCACTGCTACTCTGCATCATTCATGCAGGGATTACATATAACGCATGTCAATAACAACAAAACAGTTTAATTATTTAATATAAGTTAATGAAATATAAACCAAGAGCTAAATAATTGTAATGCTGAGATACATGTCTATGCATAGAATAGACAGAAAAATATTTAGATAAAAAACCAAAAATGCTTCATATCTACAGGGCATCAGCACCGTGTTTCAAATTGTACTCCTAAATCAAAGCTCTAACAATGAAAATAATATGTTTAACTGTCTGTTCTTAAAACGTGTTATACAGTTATTTGATTATCTTGATATTCGTTGGTATTCACATCCTACAAAGGAATCCTCAAGGTCACGGTATCCCGAAATGTTTGAAATGTCTCTGAAAAATCCTTTCTGCTCTTAATTTTCTATTGATTTTCACACTAGACAATTCTGAGCAATTGCTATGCAACTTATTTATTGCCTCTGGAAGAAGAGCCATTGGAACAAACAAATGAGTTCATGGATCAGCTAACCACTGCAGTATTTCTTCTAATGAGGAATGAAACACCTCAGATAAATTAATGATAAGCAGATACAGTTAACATCAATGGCAAGTACAAAGTAAGGTTAAGCTGTAGTACAAATAGGTCTGCACACTACTGTAGCTTTGGAAGCATTTAAAATAAACCTTTGCATGATGTGAACTCCTGTCATATTGAAATATGAAACATGCAGAAGACTGCTGACCTTAGAGAGGTGCATTGATGAAGTGATGGAAGCAGACAAAACCACAAGCACAAGAGGAGGGCAGTCGTATCGTGGCGTCATTAAACTAGAGTTACATCAAGACCGCCTTAAGCACATTAAATTTCATTCTGTCACTCAGCCTACTATTTTTACTTCAAATGCCAAAACAGAAAACAATGGGCAATTGCTTCAATGGGAATCAATGAATTAACAAGTATCGCTTAGAAACCTGGCCAGGAACACACAGTGGTTTGTGACAGATGGCTATAACACACATAATCTTTTGTTTTTATCAAGCAGTACGAATACGCATGTACTGTACAGTACAGTTGGAAGGTAGGAAAATCCAGTCAATGCATCAACCCAGTGTGACTAAATGACACAACCAGAAGCCAATACTGGTTAAGACTGACCCTAAGAGTACCTTATGAAGCAGTAACTTCAGAAGGATAAAAGCCGGCTAACCTTACAGCCATAGTTCTTGACCTGTCTGCTCCAACTCAACACCACAGTCAGCAGTTTGATGGACATGTCTGGATTGTGACCCCACACTGTACCCTTCTTTTTTTAATTCTACTAATTAAATTACTGAAATTAGTCACCAGATTTACTTACAGGCATTAGTTACAGCAAAGCTGTTAGCTGTTTCAATGTTGTCCACATGAGGAACCAGATTAAAAGGCGCTTCAGTTGCGTTGGGGCTGGTGTTGTGTAAAAAGATTGCTAAGCGAAATGCGGTGTATTCCTGATCTGTGTTTCTGATGAAGAGACCTCCTGTAAAGAAACATAAACACGTAACGAACAATGGGACTGATTTTCTACACCTTTATTCTTCATGAAGATATATTTCTATATGCATTATCTGTATAAAAGCTTAATTCCTGATATAAGCTATCTAACACAATACTCTCATATATTGGATTAAACAGAATTCACAATCTGCACCAAAGCCAATTCTTAAAAACTCAGATAGGTTATACTGTATATGATCTTCAGACCAACGTTTCGTGTCCACTTGTTTTTATTCACTTTGCATATGTGTTACAACTGAAAAAAAAATGTTTTCCCATAATTTGTGCATTGCGGTAAATCGCAAATAATATTTCACATCAAGTAAACGATTTGTATAAATACAGCAAACAGCATTTGGCATATCAAGTTTATCAGCAACATGAAAGGCAGAGTCAGCTACTAGCATCTTATTAGCAAACGTCTTCAGTACTTCACAATAAATGATGCAGTACTGGAATAAATTAAACCACCTCCCGTTAAGAAGAAAAAATGAGGGGGGAAACAGAGTACAAAAAATATGTAAATTAAAGCAGTAGATAGAAGCGACCGTGTGTAATGGGAAACTTTTAACAGAGCCAGTCAATTATCAGATAGTATCGTAAACGAAGAGCATCCCATCACAGGCTGAGGCTGTGATTGCTGCAGTGCTGCTTTGTAACAGGAAAGAACAAAGCACACTGAAACATTTATGAGTGTAGGACACCAATAAAAAATAAACAAAATGGGAGATGAAAGTGCATCGTACATCAATGTTCAACGGAGCATTAACTTTCACTCAAGAATAATTAGCACCTGCCAATTGCATTTTTATTTTTGGGGTGAACACGACATAAAATGATTAGAACAAGATTTTTTTAGAAAATGCAGCACGCACTCTCTCTATTTTCAATATTTACCCCCCAATCTTTTTTTCCCCCTCCAGTTACGAAGCATTTCACATAACGTGAGGTACGGCTGCCGTTTTGTATTATTGCCATTATTACTTACCAATTTGAACACTGCTCGGGAATGCTCCCATTGTTAGCCCCCAAAAGCTGGAAAATAGCAAGAGAAGCTGTCTGCAAGTAATCCTCATCTTGTTTAGTTAAAAACTGTTGAGAGACATTGAGGATGATGACACACGGAAGAAGAAAAAAGAAAACCGAGTTTTAGCAATCCATTCTGGGTGTTTTTCCCGCAGTGTCCACAGCCTTACAAGAGGGTCTGTCCGGCAATAAATGTTGCACATGCAAGATGGGGGAGACTCGCTGGTAGTGGTGGGGAGCGTCTAGTGGCTGCATGGAAAGATGAGACATGCGCTTTCTCTCGACCCTCTCTCTCTTCCAGACTCTATCTCTCTCTTGCTTTTTCTTCCGAACCTCCCTTCTAAGACTCCAGCAGTCATCTGTAGCCTTCGCTCAGTGCTGTTAAACAGGACCCACGGTGCTTAGCGCACGCAAAAAGAATCTTCTCTTTGCTGCGACAATGACGAGTAACGTCAAGTGCTGATGTGGTAGTGACAGCTGTACTGTTCGATGTTACTTAAATTCGCTTGGTTGCACTCTGATGGAATTATCAATCTAATAGAGTGCTCCATCCAATTTCGTACATCTTAAAAACAACCATGTACAGCCTGAGGTCTCTAGGACTCGAATCAAACACATCCGAAAGTACCGTACGGCAACTACACTAACGCATGCGAAACGCTCCAGCTCCTTTACAACAGAAGCAAAGCTAGCTGGTAAAAAAGCCTGAAGATGCTGTAGTGCTGAATATATTAAATAAAAAAAACTCATGAAATATAATCTTGCTTTGCTGTCTCATGAACCCGAACCGCAGTTATTGTCCTCTAAGGAGATCCTGCAATTGTTTATCATTTATATACAGCATATTACAGACATTCAGGCAATTTAAATGGCATTCATTTTAATACAAGGTTTATCGTCTTTAATGAGTTGTGACACCCGATAACCAAAAGTCATGCATGATGTTTTCTTTAAGTAGACACTGAACAACTCCCATAACCTATACAGTACGGTTTCATGTACTGTATAACACAATTGAAAAGTATGATTATGCAATTAATCACAAGGAATGTGGTATATTTGTTATCAGAGGTATGGTATCAGCATAATTCCCCACATCTCTACACATGGAAATCTCACACATGTAGCAAGCTACAGTAATATAGCTCCAAAGCACATGAGCACCATAATCTTTGGGAACCCACCTGACACAATGGTCTTGCATCATTTGTGCTCTTTTTCACTCATTTAGAGATTTTCATTTTTTTAAACTGATAAACTTTTAAACTTTTAAACTGCGGAATAATGATCTGTGGGTGGAGAAAAAGCTGTAGTCCAACCACTGTCCAAGGTCCTAAACAACTGTCAGCTGAAATACATGTGAGCACTAGGTTCAGAACTTCTAGATAACAGTTTAAACTGGTCAAGCACCAGATATTACATACATCCTCTGGTAGTGGATACATGTTCTCAGATATTCATATTAGATTTGGACTTGAAGAATCTGATTCTTTCTTTAGCAGTCCACACATTCCAATCGACTACAGTTATTAGAAACAATACGCACTATTTTTGGTACTGGTCTCTGGAAAAAGACTTTAAATCTCTGAATTTGATAACTTGAAAAATATATTTTTGTGGCAAAAAAAAATGCATAAGTTTAACTTCTCTTTGCACTCACCAACCATAAAGTCTAGAACTCTATGAACTGGTCTCAAGAAATGCACAGACTTTTATGTTTAATTTATTTTGTATAGGAAAGCTCTGTGCAAGTGGGGCATGAACAAAAACATGGGTCAAATGGAAGAAAAATCCAGGGCTAAATAATTAGATCATATACTGTAAGATTTAATACAGATAGAAAATGTATTGGCATTTTGTAAACAGGAAGGAAGACATCATTGGCAATTTTGAACGCTACCTGTTTAGAGAACAGTGAAGAAAGATTATTAGGTTAATAATAAAATAACTAAGATGACTGCAGTTGTTTACAAGGTTAAACAAGGTATGATACACCTCAAATATTAATATATAGTTAAGGCATTACAGTACAGTATATACTGTACTGCAACCATTAAAAGTGGAATGCAGAATTCAGATTTCGAAATGTGTAGCAGAGACAGAAGGCATTCTGTGATTATGTCGGTACTAGAAGATACAGATATAGTAGTGTAACCTAATCACATTGGCAAGGTTATAGGCTTCTGCACCTTTGAATAATTTAGACTGCTTAGTCTGTGTCAGCTGTCATTTCCCCTTTACAATATTTCTCATAACCTCAAGACATAAATTATCCTCACTGATGCACAACAGATGTCTCAAAGTTGATTCCAGCAGTGCCCTAGACACAGTCGCCCCTACAACAAATACCATCAGTACAAAAAATAAATTTGGGATAAATGTTTCTCTATTTGGAGATATTAGCCTTCATTTACCCAGTAATTAGAAGTAACCTTATTTGAAGCTATGCTGAGGAATCACAAGAAAGAGTATTTTGTCTCATTTGGTACATTTACTGTATCTCATAATACAGTTTGTTTTTTAGCTTTAATCAGTAAAAAAAAAAGCTTTTTAAAGCTACATGGAATTACTCATGTCAATGATGCCATATAGATTGTCTTTCCATATGATTAGTCCAAGGTTGATAGTTGTGTTATTACTTTCATCTGTCTTGTCATCCTTTAAATTTAGGTACCTTATCTCATATCTCTGTTTTCATTTGGGATCCTCTGCTATCACAAGGGATTCCTTGAGCTTTGACATTCAATGGATATTTTTTATAAAATGTGTCTCATATCCCTGAGCTAACTACAGTAAATCCCATCTGGTCCCAGATATTTGTTAGATTTGAGACCTCCTAATCTCTTTACTGCACATAATTTTCTTATCTGCATTAGTTCTGTCAATTCAATATGCAGGGGATGGACAAAGTAATGAAACACCTAATGAAAAAGGACTCATATTTTAAAATAACTGAGTCACAATTAAAACAGATGATACATGTTTTTCATAATATTGTTTCATATTATCCATGTTTCTGCTGTAAAATGCTTTTTTAAAATCAAGACGTTAACATGAGTTTCTAGAGATCTAAACAGGTTTTAAAAGAGATTAAATTGCTGATGCCTGATTTGCTAGTGCATCAGTCACAGAAATGGCAAAATTATTTAATGTGTCAAGGGGAAGTCAAATAAAAAGAAAACAGCATCAGGAAAGAGAAACTGCAGGTGCATGTTGAAGATTACTGACAGGGGTACTGTCGATAATGGACACTTAACAAGATAGCTGGTAAAAACCACACAAAAACATCCTCAAAAATTCCCACACAAATGAATTGACACCTCTGTGACCAAGTCTCAACAAAAATTGAGACAAAAATGTCGTGAGCTTCACAAAGCTGATATTTATGGTAGGGCTGCCATTCAGAAACTACTTGTATCCAAGGCCAATTGGCAGTAACACATAACTTGGTGTAATGAGCACAAAACCTGGAGTCCTGTGCAGTGGAAGAAAGTAATATTGTCTAATGAGTCATCTTTTACTCCTTTTCCTCCATCTGGACGGGTTTATGTTTGGAGGAAGCCAAATGAAACGTCTCACACTGCCTTTTTCACAACTACATCATGGTGGTTCTGTTACGGCATGGTTAACCATCTCATGGGAGTCATTGGGTCTGTTTATTACTCTACATGGTAAAATTACGTCCAAGGAATACAAAGCCGTTTAGGTGACTAGGTGCACCCTACAGGACAAACATTGTTTTTTCAAGATATTCCCATATTCCAAGATGATAAACCCTCAATAACCAGATGCTCTAGAGATTCCAGAGAGGTTTCACAAATTTCAACACCTTCCAATAGTCCATATATGGTTCATATACTGTATGAACATCATTGAATCTTTATGAGAAGTCCTGGATGGCAGAATGCAAAATAGATTTCCACCTCCTTCATCTTTCTAAGAACCGGAGGCTGTCCATCTTAAAGACTAGTCCAGCATTCCCGTACATAAAGTTCAAAGCTTGTACAACAGTATTCCAAGAAGGACTGAAGCTGTTCTGAATGTGAAGAGCAGCCCAACACTATTAAGAAATATTTGTTCTATTATTTTGTTCACCTCCTCTATATCGGGCATCAAAAGAAATTAATCGTTTGTAGCTTCAACAAATGCACAAAGTCATTATCAGATGAAACTACAGTGCTTTGTTGTTGTACAGTAGCTGGATTTAATGGATTTAATTTTTGAACAGGCATGAAAGGTAAACTATGATTTCTGATCAACAGGAAGTTCACTGTGAATGTTACAGGATAGTGACATGTGTGAACACCTTTGGAAGCAAATCAGGCTTCTATAGTGCATGTTTTGCACTTGATTGCAATGCTGTCTTGTGTCTTCTGTTCCTTTCTTCTTACAGTATATAACCAGGTTAACCTCATGCCATTTCACTGGTGTATGAGCCCTAGATGCCAGACACCATCCCAGTTCATCTCATAAATGTAATCATAGACGATTTTTAGAAGGCCTGACATTCAACAGATTAAATCACCTCATTACCTGTGCCCAATCAACTTTCTCACTAATAAGGTGTTATACCCTTGTGCTTATGAAACACTGAAAGTCACAGTCACAGTCAATGATGAATGATCAATTAATCCAAATCCAAACCACATTTTTAATGAAATTACAAGTTAGTTAAAATAATATACAGTATAAAGTTTCCCATACAGAAGTGGTGGTGTAACTTGCAAAAAGTTAAGCAGAATTTGTACAGACATGCAATGCTGGGTAGGACTTCATTAAGAAGTACACACTAAATGGCTTTGCACATAATATTGCTTTTCATGTACAGTGACAATTCACATTTAGTGAACAAAAAATCTACCTTCTACTACATGTTAAACCACTAAAATTTAAATGCCCCTTATTGAAAATTTACAAGGTAGTCTGCCTTTTGTCTGTGGACCTTATTCTTTATTTATGTCTCTCTTTAGAAAGCAGGGATAAAAAACAGATCCAGTTTGTGATACTGCACATCAAAATAGAAGCAATGGTGGTTGTATAACTGAAATCCCTTAGGAACACAAACATGTAGGTTGCAGAGATCTCATTATTCAGTCATTTTCAAAGTTTCCATTAAAAAAAAGATTTATTTCTCATAATGTATTAGAAAAGGTCTGATTTTTCTCTATACCAACAGACGGTATGTCCATGAATGTGGGTTCTTGAGGAATTTGAGCATTTATATTTAAAATCTAGTACTATTAAATTTGTACAGGAACAGTTTCACTTACATTTGTTTTTTTTCCATTCATGCTACAAAGTGGTTACACTCTATTAGTCCCCCTAAGACAATATTATTAGCTCAAGACTGTGTATGTATTAAAATATTGTACTGGTCATTCACAGAGGGAAAAACTACAGATACTTACTGGAACGGCACATTACAGTAATAAAGTGCTATGCCTTAATGATGATCACTGTATATTAAAGAAGAAGAGGTGCTCTTCAGGTCTACTTTTGTCTTGTTGTGCTGAAAAAATTGAACTAGTATGTTTTTTTCTGGTTTGGTTTGGTTACAAGAAAGTAATGGATCCCAGGAATTCAT